GGAGGCCGGCTCCACGGCCCTGGGCCCGGATGCGGGGCGCGCGCACGGCGGGCGTTGCTGCGAGGCCTCCTGGGCCGCCTCCCTGAATGGCTCCCTCCAGAGCCTCCACCAGGCGCTCTCCGCCACCGAGCAGGGCTTGGGGCAGCACCGGCGGCTCTTCCACAGTCTTTTTGGAAACTTTCAAGGGCTCGTGGCAGCCAACGTCAGCCTAGACCTGGGGAAGCTGCATGCCGTGCTGAGCAGGAAAGGGAAGAAGCAACAGAAAGGCCCGGAAGCTCCCCGGAAGAGGGACAAGAGGCAAGTGGAGCCGTTGGCGGATGCCGCTGTCAAAGGGCCGGTGCCCGGTGCCCTAGGAGCAGCGCTCTGGGAGGCGGGTAAGTTCCCGGGCCAGGGACACCAGCAAGTCTAGGAGTCCGGGGCTGTCTCCAGCAGCTCTTCTGCCTGGAGGGGACAGGATGAAAGGAAACAGGATGGTCATTGGCCACCACTGCTCAGGGTCCACCTTCCCCTTGAACCACCTTGTTTTCAGGGCTGTGGGCTCTTAGACTACCTGGAGTGTGGGAAGGTAGAAGTCACAAGAACCAACTGTTAATGCCAGAGCCCATGAGCTGGCAGAGCCACCTCCATGCAACTGTCCAAGGCTCACAGACATCCCGCTGGCCGCCTGCTGCTCTAACGGTGGAGCCGCACACCCTCGAATCCCACTGTCTCTGCCCTTTACCCTACCCCTCCACCCCCATGGGTCTTTAGCCAGCTTACCGCTGTATGCAGGGGAGTGGTGTCACCTGCCGCGGGCAGCGCTCCACACAAGGTGAGTACAGGGAAAAGCCCTGGGCCCTGACAGGAGCTCATTCTCTCCGTGGACCCGCTCTGCCGCTCTGTGCCAAGTCCCCTGCGATGCCCTTCTTGGCCTTCACCAAGACGAATCATCACAACGGCTCACTGGTGCATGCATCCTCACTGCCATCTTACTTGAAACAGGCTCAGACACGGGAAGTGTCCTGCTCACACAGCTCTTGAGGGGTGCAGTGGGTCCTTGAGCCCAGCCCAGCTGTCTCGAGGGTGCTGGCTCTTCCCCCTTGGAAAGGCCCTCAACGGCTGGTCCCTGCAGCGCTTGGGAGTTGACTCTCAGGCTGAAGCGATGGGCAGCCAACCTTCCCATCCTCTCCCTGAGCGTAGCCCTGGGAAGGGGACCACTGGGCTCTGTGCCTCAATGGGCTCTCTGTCAGAGAGGCTGGCCTTGGGGCTGGGCCATTTCCTCAACCAGACACAGGGCTGAGTACAAGGCCACCATCTCGGCCGCCTATACCCTGGTGCAGCCTGGCATGTGGGAAGTCCAAAGCCTTGCTGAAGGTCCCACCCCAGCCTGCCCTGCCCCCGCTGACCCTCCATGGTAGCCCAGGAGGCAGTGGAAGAGTCACTACCTACACCAAAAGGCTATGATGAAGACTACCGGTTACATCCACCAATACCTGGCACGAGGCTTAACACATGGAGGACCCCAACCAGTGTTTTCCCATTTTCCTAGCATTTTCAGGGCTGAGACTGTGTCCACCTGCACTAACTCTTCCGTCTTCTTTCCTCTTGTGAGTGGTGAAAGGCTTCAATATGCCAATGACTTGGAAAATTTGCCTGATGATTTTGGTATCTGTTTACCACTGCAATGTTTTGTTATTTCAAAGAAGAAAAAAAATTTTTAAATCCCCCTTGTCTTTCAGGAAGGCTGTAGGGCCTGCATTTGTGCTCTGCAGGGAAGCACACTCTTCCTTTGCACAATCCTTCCACCCTCTGAGGCTCGTAATTGGGCGCACTGGCTGGGTTGGGTCTTCCTCTACGGCAGAGCTCCCAGGCAAAGGCAGGCTGGCGGGGCTGGGGCGGAGTGTGCACCGAGCACCGGCAGAGGGCGCTGTAGGCCAGCCTTTCTTTGGCTGGGCGAGCGCGCCACCTGCTCGGTGCAAGGGGAACTGCAGAGCCTGCCGTGGGCCTTTAACTTGGCAAACTTACACAAACAAGAAAACTATTCTGAGCTCTCTAATACTCAGGAAATCAGAACTAAAGAAAAGCAAAATTTTACCATTCACAAGGCTGTTTGCTGGATTTGGAGCCAAAGAGCTGGGGCTCTAGTTCTGGAACCTAAGTCACTAACTGCTATGAAAAATGCTCCTCTTTTAAGCATTGGTTTCATTCCCAAGAAATGTGGAGCTTGGTCTCAACCCCTGGAAACAACGTATTGAGGGAACCCCCGAGGAATGACCTTGTTGGTGCTCAGGCCACTGTCATGGCTGCGACTCAAGTGGGACTCACCCCTCCCGTCCCATCTCATGGCCTTGTCCTTCCCTTGCCTGACCTTCCTGGCCAGGCGGTGCAGCCGGCTCCTTCTTCACTGTCCCTTCACCCTGCACACATCACTGCTCGCTCTGCCTCCGTGCCCAAGAGGGCCTGGCACCTGCATTCTGAGTCAGCATCACTATCCTCCTAAGGCTGCCTAAAGTGCTCCCATAAGTCGGAAGAGTGGGAGGAGCACCCCAAATCAAGAGATCCGAGGTCTGCTCCCAGCTTGGTAACTTATTAGTTCTGTGGTCTGGAGCAACAAGCTTACCCTTTCTGGGCCTCGGTTTCCCCATCTGTGATCCCAGGGCTCTGTGCAACATGTTGGAAACCGCATTAAGAAGACCAGCTTGAAGAGGCTTCTCTTCTCTGGCCCGCCCACTCTGTCCTTTCTCTAAGGTCCTGTGGCCGCCACCCAGTAAGAGCCACTCTCCACTGCTCCTCAGTTATCTCACCAGGGTTAGCATCCTCCCCTTGGGGATAGGTAATATTTTCTCTTTCTCCTGGGTATCTCAGTAGCCTGGGATTTGGAGGCCTGGGTTCTGGTCCCAGCCTGCCATTTGCAAACCATTGCCAGCCAGTTAATAAGCTTGAGCCTGAGTTTCCTCAATCAGGGATACTGTCAAGAAAGTTGGAAGGAAAAGGATCAAACAAGAAAGTGCTTTGTTAAAATGTACATTAGCTTAGACAACAGACTCGTACTTTCCCTTTTCTCAGTTGGTGAAAAACTGAGAATTGCCATTTAGCTCCTGCTAAGAGGGCTTGGTGACTCGGCCGGAGAGAGGGGCTGGGTCACCGAGCACTCTCCTCCTGCGTTTCAGGCTCCCCCATGGCCTTCTACGCTGGCTTTGCAGAGGGGACAGCTGCCCCGCAGACGGTGAAGTTCAACACGACATACATCAACATTGGCAGCAGCTACTTCCCTGAACATGGCTACTTCCGAGCCCCTGAGCACGGCATCTACCTATTTGCAGTGAGCGTTGAATTCGGCCCAGGGCCAGGCACTGGGCAGCTGGTGTTTGGGGATCACCGTCGGACCCCAGTCTGTACCACTGAGGAGAGTGGGGGAAGCATGGCCACCACCTTTGCTATGGCTGAGCTGCAAAAGGGCGAGAGAGTATGGTTTGAGTTAACCCAGGGATCAGTAACAAAGAGAAGCCCACCGGGCACTGCATTCGGGGGCTTCCTGATGTTCAAGACCTGAACCCTGGGCACAGCTCTGATCAGTCATCGTGGGCTCGCCCAGCTCTCCTTGGCCTGGGCTCTGGTCTGGAACGGTCTGGAGACCATTCAGTAAGTCTAGCTCTTCCCTGGAAACCTCCTGCAAAGACAATGCAGTATGTGTGGGCTCCCTCTAGAGGCACTGGGTTCGGGGGTTTCTCAGTGATGAGAATTGGACTGCCTCTTTCCGTGTGGGACCTGGTCCTGTGAAGTGTGAATCTCAGCCGGTCGTGCCTTCTCAGACAGCATGGCTTGGACTCCAGCTTTGTTGCACCCTGTATTCTACAACTTTTGTGCTTTGCTCCTCCTGTGGTTGGAAACTTCTGTACACTTTAATCCTCTCCTGGTTCCTCTTCTCCCTGATCGTGTGCTAGAAAGTCATGTTTCCCCAGAAGGAATGTTTGAGATGGAGGTGACATTTGGCCAATATTGGAAACCAGTCTCCAATCACTACAGGGCAATAGGATAAAAGCGGCCCATTTGGGCTGTCATCAGAAAGGAGACAAAGACCTGGTTGAGTTAATCAATGGAGATGAGATCAGCATCTTTCCTTTAGTTTCAGCCACTCCTTGTACTTACCTGTAATCTGTCTTTTCTCCTTGCCTCGCATAGGGTAAAGGCCAAACATGAGCTAAAACGTGTGCAGCCTTCACCTCCCTCGCTTCCTCCCGTGTCTTATGACCGTCCTCGTTCTCATTAGCATCCCCGACCAGGAAGGGAGCTGGGGGCAGGGAAGGAGCACTGTAGAAGTCTCCCCCAGCAACGCCAACTTTGGAATAAAGTGATGCCCTTCAAATCTCTGCCTCATTTACTTCGAGAGCAAAAATATTTGGCAAAGTAGGAAGAAATATGGGACAAAATGAATCTATTTGGGATAAATGCGACTTTTGCTATTCTAAGCCATATTTGACTTCCCAATTTCAATTAAATCTACCTAAAACACTCGGAGGCCTCCGCAGTAGCAATGATAGTAATAGAGGACTAGACAGTATAGTTCAGAGGTGCAATTATTCCTCTAATATCAACATATGGTTTTAGAAAAATTACAGACCCTAGAACAAACAGGCTAAAGAAAGCAGTCACCTAGTCATCAGAAAATAAAGTGGTTGGTGGGGTTAATACTTAATGAGAGCTGTTAGATTAACCACCTCACACTACAGATGGATAAAGTTCAAGACAGGTTGTGATTTACCCCAAGGTCAAACTGTCGGTGGCAGAGTGGCCTGACATACTACTTATTTTAACACTGATATTTTAGCACAGCTCTCATTAAATATTTGTTATTTTATTATTATCTTAATCACGGGTTTGCACTTTAACCCAGTGCAGCTCTCAGTTGTTAAGACCAATCCTGACCCAAGGCAGGATGTGGTTGGGCCAGCTCTGGTTGGTTAGCTCACTTGGGAGAACACAGTTCTGATAACACCAAGGTCACAGGTTCAGATACCCATACAGGCCAGCCACCAAAAGAAAAAAGACTTTCACTTGGAATTTATTGCACATAGTAAGCAGAGTGAATTAATCCCCTCCATAAAGGGTACATGTCTCCCAACCCTTAGATGGCTGGTGCTCTTTGATAGGAAGGCGTAAAAGATCAAAACAAATAATGATCTATAGTCTATAACCCACTGAATAAAATAAGAATCCACGAGTCCACACTGATGATTAAAAAGAAAAAAGAGAGAGAAGGAAAGCGCTGTTCTTTACAGCTAAATGCCAATTAATAAATATAAATGTAATGATGGAATTCGAAAGTCACCACTTTGCAGTCACTGGTTCACACAAGGATCAATGGATGGTTAAAACAGCCCAAAGTTATCTCCCATAGCTTACTCATTACGAGGGGAAAATAACTTTAGAGATACAAGGTATCACCTTTAACAAGTGATTGATGCTGACATCCTCAATAATGAGACCCACTGACAATAATGGGACTATGACCTCTCGAAGGGATGCCCTGAGAGGGACGTGAGCATCCTGTCCACAAAACCCCGAATAAGGTCGTAGCTCACGGTGCTGTTGATCACTGACTGCTCAGTGTTAACTTTCCTGGTTTTGACAGTTGCACATAATTGGTTAAGTCATAGGGTATCCCTTAGTATTTATTTCTAAATAGAAGTATTCCTATTTAGAAATAAAGGGGCATGAGCTGTGTAACTTATTCCAAATAGTTCAGAAAAAAAGATGAGCATGCACGTGTGTGCACTGACAGTGCAAACGTTGCAAGAGGAGCCTCTGCACCTCCTGTACACAGAGGACAAAGCGACTGTGGCAAAACGTGGAGTTTACGAATCTGGGCAAAGGGCAGATGGTATTCCTTATACTATATTTACAACTTTTCTGGAAGTTTGAAATTATCTCAAAATAAAATAAAATTTGGTTGTTGAAATAACAAACTTAGTAGATGGGCTGAAAAGTAGAAGGTAGGATGGAACATAATGAGAAACATGTTAAGGAATATGGAAGAAATGTCCAGAAAACCTAGTATCTGTCCATAGGCCTTCTAGAAAAAGGAAAAACAGGGATGGAAGGAAACAAAGAAATAATGGGAGAAAATTGCCCAGGTCCAAGGAAAGATTAAAAAGACCCAATTAGTAACAACAGAATGAATTTAACTAGATATGGCGAAGTTTAAACCTCCAAACATCAAGAATAAAAAGAAAATCTTGTTTCTTGAATGAAAAAATGAGTTAAACTGCCAAGTTAAACTACGTGACATGTCATGAACTAGCCACATCAGACTTCCTACTGGCAACAAAGATGTTGGAAGATCATGGAGTAGTATGTTCAGAGTTAGATTCTATCTCCAGCCAAACTGCTAACCAAGTAGGTCAGACTCAAATAACAAAAATTGCTTTTTAAGTGTTTGATTGAAATACTCCCTACAACAGTGTAGTCTTTTGCCAGACTTCCAATTTTATAACGTTTAGTCACACAGCAGAGCAACGCTTGTGCTTCGACAACCTGCGCCATCACCCTGAGTCTACGTTTGCTTTAAGAAACGCTTCCTCCCTCCCAAAAACAACAAAAACAAACAAACAAACAAAAGTCCAAGTCCTTTCTGCTCTTAGCTTGAAAAACATTCTCAGTATAAGTTTTCCATATTGACTTTTAGGTAATAGTAACACTTCAGGTTCCCTGCATAAAATCCAGGATATGAGTAGTGAAGGGGATGTAGGGGCCCTGGGCCATCCCCTTGGATTTCATGATATGAGCACACAGGGGACGAGGGAAGGGAACTGGACAGACAACGAAGCTGCTAATATTCAGAGAAGTAATAAGTAGGCCACACATATTCCACCCCAAAATGGGAATAACAATTCCTACCTCAAAGTGTGATTATGGATGAAACTTTTAGCCCTAGTCCCTGCTTCTGTCCAAAATATTTTTTGTTTGTACCTTTGCACTTGAACTAAGTCTCCTCCTCTTTGATTCTCAGTGTCAGGGGAACTGTTATCCTATTTCTCCAAGTGAGATATTGAATATTAATGACTGAATTAGCATCTGCTTGGAATTGTCTACAAAGATTAGACTATTCTGGAAGAACAAAGGTTGCACCATTCTATTTCTTAATGTCTGCTCTATTAATACTATCAAATAGTCACTCTTCAAACTGAGCAGTGAGTAACAGATTATGCTGGGAAGGAAAAATGAACATGTTTATCCAGTTTTCAGTGTTTTTTTTTGTCTTTTTTCATGTCCGGCAACGGATCGCAACCCTCGGCGCAGCGCCCGCACCTCGCTCAGCCAGTGAGCGGCCGGTCTGTATGTGGGATCCGAACCCTCGGCGGGAACGCCGCCACGCTCCCAAGCGGCGCACTGTAACAGTGCGCCACTGGCCGGCCCAGTTTTCAGTGTTTTTACATATGGAAGGAAAGCTACCATGTATCTGACAGGCCCAGGAAATCCTGCCTGCTCTTTACAGTGCTGCCATTACAGCACACGTGTTACCCGGAAACTCTCACACAGACTGCTGTAGGCAATCTGCAACAGGCTATTTCCAAACATGCGCTTCTTGAGGGACATCGACTTGTGCCAAATCTTCTATGATGACTTAACATGTTCTGTTCCTAAGAAAGGGCATCAGAAGGCACACTGACTGGATTAACTCACATACAATTGACCACAGCCCCGACAGGTGGCCGGACAGTGCAAACGAGGAGATGACCAGACACGTGTGGAACAGAAGGAAGCACCCCACGGCCGTCCTTCCCACTGCAGCAGGAACACCCCAAGGCCACATACATGTACTCCATGACTCTAAGTAAGAGGAGAAAGAGAAAAAGGAAGTAAAAAGTAGACATTACCTGACCAGGCAGTGAGGTGAGCACTCTCACGAACTGCTCGGAGTGTAAATGAAAACCCTTCTGGGCAGCAATGTGGCAATATTTATCAAGATCCTTTTATTTATCAAAGAATCTTTTAAAAGTTCATATCCACTAGTCCCATATTTAGGAATGTAATCTAAGAAAATAAATATTTATGTACAAGAATGTTCAATACATTGGTTATATACTGTATTTTCTAAAGTAATGGAAATAATCCAAACAATCAACAGGCGATCGACTGTAGAAGTAAATTATTCCATCTATTTGGTGGAATATTCTGCAGCCATTTTTTGAAAACTATGTTTTCAATGGATATTTAATGGCATACTATGATCTTAATTTTGTTAAAAAATGCAGAAGATTGAAAAGAAACATATAGAAACACATCCAAATGTAAAACGGTGGTGTTTGGCAATAGAATTGAGTGATTTTTATTTGTTTCTTTATTCCTGTGTTTCCCAAAATTTCTGCCATGAGTACATATTTTTATAAACAGGAAACATTTTTTGTTTTGTTTTTAAAAGAAAAAAACCCTTCACTATAATAGGTTTATAACTTCTCTATCTACACAAAGGCCAGGGTGCATGGTCACTTACCTACCTGTGCCCCACACTGGGTTTCTGGAGGCTGAAATCACATCTCAGGAACATATGCACGTACAATGACTTATTTGTTTTAAAATTTTACGAGATGACTCCTGATAAACAATACAGTTGGAGTATAGTATCACAAAACACATCACTAAAGTATACTAAAATAAGGTTATTTACTTAAAAATGATACATTGAACATAATCTGTAAATAGAACAAAGCAATTAATGGTAAACTTAATAAGGCACCTTTTAAACCAGATGCTGTACAAAATACATTTAGTGTGTTACATATCAAAGATGAATCTAATATTTTTGGTGTTTTACAATTGTATAATAAAACCACTTGTTTTTAACCCTTCTTTCAATGTCTATGTACAGTTTCCCTAATTAAGCTATAATGACATTTTAATTTTATACAATATATACTACATTTTAGTTTTTAAATGGGCAAGGACAAAGGTCACTAAAACGGCTTAAATAATCCCATTGAAAGCAGAGTACAAAGCACAAGCTAAAATTACAACAGTATATTTAATCCTTTGCAAAAGCTGCATTCACATACTTTCCTTATGGGACGATCATTACACGTGGCTTCACATGATGTTGCCCTATAGGTATTATTTGGTTCCTATGAACACGTCTCTTCTGCGGTTTCCACCCTGACTCTCACAACAGCACTGAGGCAAGATGAGCTGCAACACTGCTATTTTAACATCCGATCCGAGTCAAAAAGTAAATATTATCACTTTTAAACAGTACAAGGGCTACAGCAATTTTTTAAAAAAATCTATTTCTGCTGTTAAGATTATTTTAGATATTTAGAAACATTTCAAAACAACATTTATGAAAAGCAACCTGCTTTAATGTATAAAATTTGCCCTGGAATAAATTACTCAGTATCAACTTTTATCTTGGGCCAACTCAGAGATGCACAATCTTTAAAAACTGTACTGCAGGGCCGGCCCGGTGGCGCACTTGGTAGAGTGCGGCGCTTGGGAGTGTGGCGGCGCTCCCGCCGAGGGTTCGGATCCCATATAGAGACCGGTCCGCTCACTGGTTGAGCGCGGTGCGGGCGTGACACCGAGGGTTGCGATCCCGTTGCCGGTCGGGGTGCGGGCGCGACACCAAGGGTTGTGATCCCGTTACCGGTCACGAAAAAAGACAAAAAGGGAAAAAAAAAAATTGTACTGCATTTTCCTTCTAAACAGAAACAAAGCATCTGAAAAAAGGTATTAAATATTTGTTAGAGTGAATAAAAAATCTGGCACGTTCTAGGGAAACAATTTTCAAAAACTATAGATCACTTTCTAAGTTTAGAAGCACTTCTGGACATTGAAAAGGCAACATAACATGCTGATTAAAATATCTTTTGTAAAAATATTTCCAGAGAAATCAGATTCAAATTTTATTCTTCAGAAACCTGTTCAATAAGAAGCACAGTAAAAGCTTAGAATAAACAAACTTAAGCAAACCTGAATGTGCCTTTAATCCTAGAGATACCTACCAGCGTAAAGAGAATTCTAAGGAGAATCTTCTTTGGGGGTGAACTTTTGCTGTTTACATTCGGGGTTAACTTTTGCTGTTTACATTCAAGGTTTTGTTTTTTGTTTGTTTTTATGTTTTAATTAAAGGAATAACTGCTATAAGCCACACATTTTAAAAACACTAAATTGTAAGTGGAACCAAATAATGGCATCCAGGGTTTTACAAATTATCAGCTATGCTACTACATAATAATACTTCCTTGTACTGGTCTGCCATATTCTTTAAGTATTTCACTTTCTGGATGAACTTCAAACTTACGAGTAAGAGTGACAGAAGAGAAGAAAATTAAGTTTCATGCAAACTTTTTAGATCTTAGGATTCCAAATATGGCAACATCTGCTTTTTAAGGAACATGTTATACTAGAAAATGTTTTTAGTGAATAAGTTTCTAAGGTTAGTTCTTGATAACACTTTTACTAGACCAAATTACTTAGAAATAATCATTATAGTGGTTCCATATATTAGCTGTAATTTTTTGCTTCCACATACCATATTAATATTTCTGAGAATAAAATTTGCCTTTCCTTACATACTTTCCTTATTATTAAAATGACAAATTTATAGTTTATCAAGTCAAAAATAAATCAAGGTTAACTCAGACTAAGTAAATCAGATCTCATAAGTGTTTTCAAATCACATGGCAAATTTTGATTAAAATATCTATGATTCTCAGAATACAGATGGGGAAAACATTCTGAAAAAGCCAAGTTATTGGGTATTATCAATATGCAAATTTAGTTGATGAATATTGCAAACTTTAATTATGTTAGATGAAACCTATTAAACTTAATCAAAATGGTCAAGGCAAGTTTCAGGTCTGTTACATTTGATGTATAGACAAATATGTAAGAGTTTTAGCCCTAAATAACAACACGAATTTTTGGTAATAAATGGATATATGCTCTAATTTCCTCATTTAAACCCTTTTGATTAGGTTGTGATACAATCACATTTTGTATTCAAAGAAAACTGTCTCACTCGCACTCATGAGTTCTTTTGTTCAGAATAGGAGATTAATATTTAAAAGGCATTACAGAAGTGTAATAAGTTTAAGCAAATCAAAATTATTACTTGGGATAACAAGGCATCTATAAAATATATACCATTTTACTGAATAACAAACAGCTATACAGTGGAGATACAGATACTGACTAGACACTAAACTTTTCTGCTGACTTTTCATTGTCTTCACAAGTTAGGGAAATCATAAAACAAAGAATCTCAAATAATTTAATGTCTGAAACATATTTAACAGTTGATAAACTTGTATCAGCTCTGATATAAACTTCTAATTAGAGAATTCTTTCATTAAGGAAAATTGAGTTGATATTATCTTAATGAGGTTTTTGCCTGAAGTTAACAAAGTCCTGAAATTGATATATTACTTTGAATGCATTAATTTTGAAAATTCATACGTAATTCTACTTTATATCACTTTTTTTCCCTTAAGGATGGGATGTGAGGTACTTGTGAGCTGGTTTGTACAGTATGCATGTATGTACATATATAAAATATGGTTGTAAAGGAGCGGGTGTTTTGCAAATAAAGCACATTACACACAAAATATAAATAACTTCCCTTTTAAAAGTTACTGAGAATAAAGAATACAGAACACGGTTATAGGCACTTACATAGCTATCAAGTGCAGTAATTCACTTCAATAAGAAGTGTTTTCTTTATAAGCTTGGTTCATGGCATTGAAAGCTCCATCTTTGGATAGGATACTTTTCATGAAAAAAAGGAAAAGTTACAAAAAGAAAAAAAAAAAAAAAAAGATGGTGGTGGAAGAAAAACTGTCCAAATTTATAGACATTTAAAATTTCTTTTGGCCTTTGTACCAACTTTTATTCTAAAACATAAAGTTGGTGGGGCTATGTCACTTGCAAGGTAAGTGGCTTTTATGAGATTGGCAAATCTTGGTCAGCTACTGCATTTTTAAAGCACAAAACCACCAGCCACCAATATCTTCCTGTGCATTCACAAATCATGTTCTTCAAATGGCAGCAGAGGAAGCCCGGTGTGCATGTACACACACACACCTCCCATTACCAAGGAAGGCATGACAAACTATGGTAAACTAAGCAGTATCCCAAACACAGCATAATCTAGAGGCTGTTTTACAAAGGCAGAATACAAACAGATTACATTTTCTCAGGTAGAAGGCAAAAGCATATATTTCTCCATCTCTGCTGAACCCATTTATCTTCTTAAGGCTTTCACAGAAAGCACTGTTTTACAAACAGGCAATTCAGTACCCAGAGTTTGACTGGAGACTTATTCATCAGGATTGAAGTCTTGATGCAGTTCATAAAAACCCAATAAAAAAAAAAGGCATCAAAAACCACATTTAAAATAAAGCTGTCCATATATAAAGAATGAAGTGTTTAGAAGTTCCCAGCTTGTATTCTACAGAGTACTGAAGGTTTAACATTAGCAGCCTGTGAAGGTGTAGTGAGGACAAAGTCTGAGAACCAACTAACATCGTTACTCCACCCTAATTCCACCTGTTCCTGGGGTACGAACAGTTCTTGCAGTCTAGAATTTCTCCTCACAATTGTTGAACTGTCAAATCTTTACATCCTGGGATTCAACCATCTTGGCAAGTGTCTTCTTAATTCTCAATGCTGTAAGTCTAGAGGCTGGATTGTGGGCCCAGCATTCTGACATTAGCTTCAAAACTGCTCGTAGACACTGAAAAGTAAAGAGAACGGAGTGAGCAGACAGAAGCCCTGACGGCATTTCCCAGCCCTTGTTCAGGGGAGTGAGTTCCACTCACTTCATCGCTGTTCCACCGGTTAGACACAAGTGGCCGCAGACGTTTGACACACACAACCTCACGCATGTCCTCATATGACGGGTCGCTGGGCACCATGTTGTAATAGGGCAGCTGGTAGTCCTCCACTATCCCTGCGTGGGTGACAAAGCACAATCTACTCAGCATCTCTCACTGAATTATGGAATTAAAACTGGTTCCTACATAAAGCAGAAAAATAATATAGACTGCAGGATTCACATTTAATAGTAAATGTGTGCTTTTCTCTTATTTATGTCCAATTACTTCCTTTACCTCCACCAGGGACGCCATCACAACTGTGACAGACTCCAGCAACAAAGGACATACGAATATTCCTTTTTTTTTTTTTGTCTTTTTTCCGTGTCCGGCAACGGATCACAACCCTCAGTGTCGCCCCCGGACCGGGACCGGCAACGGGATCGCAACCCTCGGTGTTGCTCCCATGCCTCGCTCAGCCAGTGAGCGGGAACCGGTCTGTATGTGGGATCCGAACCCTCGGCGGGAGCGCTGCCGTGCTTTCCAAGCAGCGCACTGCAGCAGTGCGCCACCGGGCCGGCCCGAATATTCCTTTTTTTTTTTTTTTTTTTTTTTAAAAAGCAAGGTGAAATCATTCATTTACCCTAAATTTTTAATCTAATTATTTACTTACATGACTGTTCCAAATAACGAATGCCGTTTTTACTGTTTTGTTCTGTCATAGAATGACTTACTGTTATGTGCAGACAAGAGATCACACAGCAGGCCTGAGACTGCTCTCCCTAGAAAGGCCTGCTTGCAAGGCTGGCCCCTGACTGGCGTCCAGGAGCCTGAATGGTAAACAGTCCCCTACATGTATATAAAATTTTTCTAAAATGAGAAGGGTGGCTCACTGCCCCTAGACTGTTTGTACAAACAATGTGGTGTATGATGAACACCTGCTTTCCTTCTGGGAGTCTGGGGTTTTGGTACGTGCCAGGCAGAGGATACCTGTACGGATAATCTCCAATAAAATCTCTGGGAGCTGAATCTCCAGTGAGCTTCCCTGCATGACAGTACTTCACACACGTTGTCACGATTTGTTGCAGGAGGATTAAACCCGTCCCGGGAGACGCCACTGGGAGTGGACTTTTGGAAACCTTGCCTGGTTTTCTCTAAACTTTGTCCAGGAACCTTCCCCCCTTGCTGATTTTGATTAGCATCCTGTCACTGTCATAAGTCCTAGCTGTGAGGATAACTATATGCTGAGTCCTGTGGGTCCTCCTAGTAAAATCATAGAACCTGGGGGTGGTCTGGAGGACCCCTGACACTCATGAATTTTATAGATTATATAACGAGAGCGGTTAAGTGATGGGTAAACAAACAATCAGAAACACACTACTCAAACTCCTACCTCCTGTGATACAACGACGAGCCATTTCCCAAATGATCAGGCCAAAGCTATAGATGTCAGCCATGATGTAAGGCTGGAAATGGTTTTTATTCAGGCTTTCATCCAGCACTTCTGGAGCCATGTAGCGTTTGGTGCCCACTCTGGTATTTAAAGGCACATCAACTTCATTTGTATCACTAAAGCAGAAGGAAGACAACGTCCAGGGTGAGGGCCAAGAACAAAATAGTTATCTTGTATTTTTGTCACATTTCATAAAAGTTTCTCTCTTTCTCTAAATATATAGGAGTACTTCAGAAAATTTGTGGAAAAATAGAATTAAAAGATAATATCAGATCTTTTTTTTTCTTTTTTGACAGTTGGCCAGTACGGGGACGTGAACCTTTGACCTCGGTGTTATAACACAGCATTCTAACCAACTGAGCTAACCACCCAGCCCTGATAATACGAATATCAAATAGTACAAATATATCTCTCCAGATGCCCTTAGAAATCCTTGGGGCCAGATGTATTATGAAATTTAGATTTTTCAGATTTGAGCAAAGTAACACATCCTTTAAATATATGCCACATATTACATAACATCTCCAGCAGGGTCTGCAGTACTCTTCCGCAAACTCACTGCTATGTCTGCAGCAAAACACTGTCTGAATATTCATACTAAACTGGATAAAAACAATAAATATCTCACATCAGCTGAGGCCAGGTTTTGCCACCAAATAAATGTGGTGCCCCTCTTAAGAAAGAAGACAATACATGGGCCCAGCCATGGCTCACTTGGGAGAGCGTGGTGCTGACAACACCAAGCCAAGGGTTAAGATCCCCTTACTGGTCATCTTCTTAAAAAAAAAAGGAAAGGAAAGGAAAGGAAAGGGACAATACTTAATATAAGAAAAAGTGGTAGATAATCAGACCCAAGAACAAGTGAATGTGAAAATAAATTAAAAGAGGGAACATTTGCTTTTATCACTCTCCTATGATAAGCTCAAGCTTCATGACATTGGATTACATTTCCTTGTTTATGGGTTCAGTGAACTTAGTTCTGCTGTTAGTAATGTCTACAAAATCATATTGACAATCAGTAATAAATGATGTCTATTGTTCTTCAACTTTTGGACTAAATTTTAGAGCTGAAGACATGAATGCTTTCTTTGTTGCTTAGGCCCCCTGGTCTGGCAGGTTCTGGAAACTACTCTAAAGCAGGTCAATATAATGCATTGTTATTTTCTTACATAGCATCTGATGAATATTTGAGCCAACAAACATTACATTGACTTAGAACACTGCAACAACCAAGGAAGTGGATCTAAATGTTTCTTACAATTGTTTCATAGACTGGTACTTCTATTCCATGGCCTGAGATGAATTCTGAAAAGTGAAAAGTGAAACTTCTACTGCTTTTTAGAATTACAACATTAAAATGGTTTTAATGGTTTCCTAAAAACTTTATAATTCTAATTCTTTAACCAAGTGGTGATGGAAAAATGGCATACAACACACTCCTGTTTACAGGAGTGTAAAGTGATACATGCTTTCTAAAGGAATAATATGCAAAATACCATACTTTTTAAAAGCATATTTGATTTAGTATCTCTCTATCTATCTACTTATCTATTTTTTTTGGCAACTGGCTGCTACAGGGATCCAAACCCTTGACTTTGGTATTATAACACCACACACTAACCAACTGAGCTAACCGGCCAGCCAAAATATCATAATTTAATCCATACAAACTCTTTGTCTTTGTAGCCCCTTCTCTAGGAATCTATCATGAAGAAATACTTGTATATATGGATAAAATACAACAATGTTCAATAAAACATTTTTAAGTAATAGAGATAAACTGAAGGCAACCTTAATGTTCATCAGTTGGGTCACAGAATAAAGTAAAGTACATCTATATTATGGAAAACTTTGCATTTGATGAAAAGAATGAGATAGATCTACATAAACTGAAATGGAAGGATGTCTAAGACATTAAAAAGCAGTAACTCAAGAATTATGTACAGTAGGATGTAACTTTTGTAAAAAGAAAAACCAAAAAATCCAACCATATATTTATATGACTATATAATGAGTACTTACACATTTTTAGAATTCCATTGTCCAGAATACAAATAGGCAAATAACTTTTGGAGGTTAAAACATCTTCAGAACAGTGGGGCAAAGAACCACTCACCTGTTGAACTTAACAGCAAGGCCCAGGTCAGCAATACAGCAGCTTCCATTTTTCTTGATGAGGATGTTTTTGCTCTTCAGGTCTCGATGAGCAATTGCAGGTTTTCCTTGGGTGCCATAAATTTCTGTGTGGAGGTGGCACAGACCACAGGCAGCTGAATAAGCCAACTTGAGCAGGGCTCTGGTGTCTAGTGTAGCACATTTCAGGAAGTCATAGAGAGACCCATTTTCATGGTAATCAGTAATCAAATAGAGTTGAGTCCAGGAACCTGTACCTTTAATGTCTGCTGCTATAAAACCTGTCCAATCAATGAGTTTAAGAGGTTAGTCATTATCAGAGATGGCTAGGAAGAACTATCAATGCTCATTCAGGACATTGAGAACAACTTAGGTATCACATACAGATAATAAAAATTTAATTCAACAGACAAAATCGCTTAAACGTGTTACCAAAAATTTTATTTCTATCATTTATACATATAACTACACTTCTGCAATAAACTTATAATAATCTTAACAATAATCACGAAAGTGATAATACGACCACACACAAAAAATAACATATCCTATAATAACCTGGAGAATGTTTCCAATATACATGGAAAAGGCTCTCACCTTCAAATAAAAAAGTGTATGGACACTTTAACAAAGTTAAAAATGTTCAACTAATGGGCCGGCCCTGTGGCTCACTCGGGAGAGTGCGGTGCTGATAACACCAAGGCCACGGGTTCGGATCCCACATAGGGATGGCCGGTTCGCTCACTGGCTGAGTGTGGTGCTGACAACACCAAGTCAAGGGTTAAGATCCCCTTACCGGTCATCTTTAAAAAAAATAAAATAAAATAAAATTGTTCAACTAAGAGCTAGCTCCGAACTAAGCCAGCTGCCATCTGCCTATGAGTGCCTCGTCACATCTGCCTTTTCAGTAGGGCTCGTTGACTCCCAGGTCCACAACACTGCCCTCTTTTCTTTCTCCTTTCTTTCCTCTTCTCTCCTTTTAGAAAAAGGTCAGTGAGTGCAGTACTGGGTTGAATAGTGTCCCCCCAAAATTCGTGTCTACCTGGAATCTATTAAATGTGACCTTATTTGGAAATAGGGTCTTTGCAGATATAATCTATTTAAGATGTGGTCATACAGGATTAGGGTGAACACTAATGCAATGACTAGTGTCTTTACAAGATGGAAATGTGGACACAAGTACACAGGAGAGAAGGCCATGTGGACAGAAACAGGCTGGAATATTGTCTATAAGCCAAGCAACACCAAAGACTGCTGATTGCTGGCAACCACCAGAAGCCAGGAAGAGGTAAGAAAGCATCCTCCCCTAGAGCCTTCAGAGAGAGCACAGTTCTGCCACCACCTTGATTTTAAACTTCTAGCCTCCAAAACTGTGAGGGAATACATTTGTTGTTTTATAGCCACCCACTTCGTGGTAATTTCTTATGACAGCCGTACTCTTCTACACACTTGGCCATCTGCTACGCACTCTCCGAATTTAAGGGGAGGGAAATAGTGCAGGGCGCGTGAGCCAAGGCTCTTGGAGCCATCGCACTTAGGGACTATGTTACTCCCGAACATTCTGCTCACTGGTACACCAGGGGTTGGAAAAACCACACTAGGCAAAGAACTTGTGGCAAGATCAGGACTGAAATACATTAATGTGGGTGATTTAGCTCAAGAAGGGCAATTGTATGATGGCCATGATGAAGAATATGATTGTCCCATTTTAGATGAAGAGAGTATTGATGAATTAGATAACCAAATGAAAGAAGGTGGAGTTACTATTGATTGCTATGGTTGTGATTTCTTCCCTGAACGCTGGTATCATATAGTTTTTGTGCTGAGAACAGATAATAGTGTTTTATACAAAAGACTTAGTGAAAAACAAGGAGCTATAGTGAGAAGAAACTAAAAGACAATCTTCAGTGTGAGATTTTTCAAGTTCTTTATGAAGAAGCTATAGCATCCTACAAAGAAGAAATTGTGCATCAGCTGCCCAGCACTAAACCAGAAGAGCTAGAAGATAATATAAATCAGATCTTGAAATGGATTGACTAATGAATCAAAGATCATAACTCTTGACGTATAAGACTGGCCACTTTACAATTACTCTTGTTGATATCTCTCTGCCCACATCACAGAAAATGTTTTTATTAAACTTGTGTTGCAAGACTAGTAGGTGGATAATGTGAAGGTTTATGCCTGGGTTTCTTTTTCTCCACGAGAAAGCTAAACAATCTCAAATATAATGAATACAATATTATTAAGGAAGGAGAGTAAAAGTGTCATTGTTTAATGCTTCAATTACTAAAGAATAAATAAATCTGAACAAATAGGTGGATTATCTTTTAAGTTTGCTACAGAAGAAAATACAAACTCTTAAAACTAAAGACTAAAGATAAAATAATAATAATAATAATAATAATAATAATAATAATAATAATAATAATAATAATAATAAATAAAGGGTAGGGAAATAGTAGCCGAAAAGAAAATAAAACTCAGGAAAGCAGCTAATGCACCCTACTGATCAGATAATAACTAAACTATTTTGCTATTGTATGAATGGGGGCGGGGGTTTCACAAGCTAAACAAGAACAGACAGTGAAGCTGCATGTTGGCTGTTGAGCTTATGAAAGGCATACATATAGAAAATTGCTTCAATATTGGCTTATAGCAGCCTAGCAAAAAATAAATGAATAAATTTTTTTAATTGCTTAAATATCTACAAAACACTTTCATTACTCTATGAGTTAATTAACGTCAATACACTGGCATTACTTCCCATATGAAACTCACTGCTGTGTCCTCAGTTGGGCAGTAAATAAAGAGCTTGGTTGGCATTCCTGGCTGTGTTGTATTTAAACTGTTCTACTGGGTTTCCTTTAGTCAAATGCGCTGAGTTGAATTCACGCGTTTTCAAAGCCCACGTGGCAGGCTTTCCCCTGTCCCCCACTAACCTTGTCAGAATACAGAACGAGGGAAAGCAGATGTGTACCCACCAAGTATGTTTTCATGGCGCATGAGCACAGTCTGGTAGATTTCCGTTTCTCGAAACCAGCTAGCTTCCTCGGTGGTAAAGAACACTTTGACTGCCACTTTCTCTCCACGCCATTTACCCATCCACACTTCTCCATATCGGCCTTTACCGACCTGCCGAACCATCTGGATCTGTTTGGCAATAGTTCGCTGAACCTTTATATAAAACAGTAAAAGGTTTTAAGCTCTTGATGAAAAGAATCTATTAAAACTGACAAAGGGGTCTGATAATCCCATCAAAAAGCAAGGTATATACAACCAACTCCAATGTTAAAATCTATAATGTATTTAAAAGATGAAACAATGTACAATGTATTCTGAAATCATAAGCTAAAAAGTCAGTCAATGTGGCAGTTACAAGTGGTCATAATTCCGCTCCCAGTACACACACCCTTGAGTAGTCTCCTCCCCTGCAGACTAGAACAACAGCAAATGCAATGCAAGCAAAGACTTGACGCGTCTGTGCACTGTTGAGACTTGCCCTTTCTTGCTGTTCCTGGCAACACCGTGACCAATGGACAGCACCCTTTGAACTACCAGCCATGGGTGTAAACTATACCTCCTAGTTCTAGCTGAGCAAGTCCAGAAAAAGAACTGCCCAGCAGACCCACAGAATTATGAGAAATACTAGTTTGCTGCCCCAAGCCACTAAGGTTTGGGGTGGTTTATTACACAGCAAAATCTAAGTGATAGTTAAACATGCTCAGCTTGGTCTGAAAGACTCCACACGATCTGGCCCAGCTCCACCGTTCGCTATGATCACCTACCTGCGCCCTCTTATCTGCCTTACTCCAACTTTTAGGATTCACTCAACTTTATTACTGCCCCAGGGTCTTGTTGCATGTTCAGTTCCCTTTATTCAGAATGCTGTGCTTCTCAACTGCTGCACTTATCACAATTACAATTTTATATTTATTTACATAAGAATAAATATTCTTATTTGCTTGAATTCCATCCTCCACTCATAGAAAATAAATACTTATTTGGGACAATATCTGAAGTACAAGTACTTTCATATTTGTTGAATGAAAAATGTACCTTGATGGCTACTTTTAATCTTCAGAAGCATTAGTGATCATCTTAAATTAAAAACAACGTGATGTACCAGGTTGTACAAGTACCTTAAATGGGCAGGACTGCGTGCAAACCTAAACTGACTTACTTTATGTACGATTTATTACAGAATACTTCTGTGATTTTTTTAAAATGTCAGAATTATTAAAGTATAATTTAATACAATAAAATTCACCCTTTTGGGGAACAGTGCAATAAGTTTTGACAAATGTATACAGTCATATAATCACCAACACAATTAAGATATAGAGCATTTCCATCACCTAGAAAAAAATTTCCCAGTTTTTTAGGTTAATCCCCTCACCAGTCCCAGGGATCACTGATCTGTTTCCTGTCCCTACAGTTTTACCTTTTCTAAAATATTACATAAATGGAAATATGCAATATGCAGCCTTTTGTGTCTGGCTTCTTTCACGTAGCATAAAATGCTGTGTTGTTGCATGTAGCAGTGGTTGTTCCTCTCTACTGACTAGTAGTATGCCACTGCACAAAAGTACCACAATTTGTTTATCTATTTACCAATTAATGGGATTTTGGGTTGCTTCCAATTTGTCTGTTATGAATAAAGCTGCTGTAAACATTCATATCCAGGTGTTTGTGTGGACATGTTTTCATATATCCCTTGGTTAAATAATTAGCAAAAAGACTGCTCCATTGTAGAGAAAATGTATGCTTAACTTTCTAATCAACTGTCAAACTATTTTTCAGAGTGGCTGTACCATTTTACATTCCAATCAGCAGTGGATGAGATTTCCAGTTAGTCCACACCCTTGCTGGCATGTGTTATGGCCGGTCTCAGCCATACTAGTGGAGGTGTAGAAGGACCTCACTGTGCTTAATCTGCATATTTCTGATGATGCTCAGCATCCTGTCCATGTGCTTATTTGTCATTCTTATATTTTCTTTGGGGAAGTGTCTGTTCAAATCTTTTGTCTAGTTAAAAAAATTGGGTTGTCTTATTATTGAACTGTAGAAGTTCCTTATAAGTCCTGCAGATAAACCCTTTATCAGATCTGTTTTGCTATATGACTTGTCTTTTCATCTACTGATATATTCTGAATAGCATAAGTTTTAAATTTTGACAAAGCTCAATTTATCATTTTTAAAAAATGATTCATGCTTTTTGTGTACTAAGAAGTCTTTCCTCAACCCAATGTCACAAAGATTTTCTCCAACCTATTTTTTCCTAGATTCTATACTTTAACATTTAGGTCTATGCTCTGTTTCAAGTTAATTTTGTATGTGGAGTGAAGTAAGGGTCGAGATTCACTTTTTGGCAAATGGATGCCTGATTTTTCCAGCACCATCTGTTAAACAGACTGTCTTTTACCAATAAATTACTGTGGCATCTTTGTAAAAAAGTCAATTGACCATATACTTGTGTGTGTGTGTCCCTTTCTAGACTCAACATGCTGTTCCATTGATCTATCTTTGCCATTCTTATATTTCTCTCCTCCTGCCAGTACCACACTGTGCTAATTACTCCAGCTTTATAATAAGTCCAGAAATTAGGTAGTAAGCCCTCTTTGTTCTTTTTCAAAATTGTTTTGGGTCTTCTAGTCCTTTGCATTTCCATATAAATACCAGAATCAGCTAATCAATTTCTATAAAATTTTGCTCTGATTTTGGTATGGATTGAAATGAAATTACATACCAATTTGAGAACACTGAAATCTTAATAATGAGTCCCCTGACTCATAAACAGGATATACACCTCCACTTATTTAGGTCTTCATTAATTTTTTTCAGCAATGTTTTATAATTTTCAGTGTGCAGGTCTTGTATACATTTTCTTAAGCTTATTTCTAAATTTTCATATATTTTGATGCAATTTTAAATGATTGTGCTTTTTAAATTTCAACTTCCAATTGTTTGTTGCTAGTGTATATAAATTCAATGTGTACAATGACCTTGTATTTTGCAACCGGATAAACTCACTTACTGGTTGTAGTAGCTTTACTGTACCAGTTTTTGAGATTTTCTATGTAAACAATCATGTTGTTTGCATATGAAGACAGCTATACTTTCACCTTTCCAATTCAATTACAGAATTATTTAATTAGATGAAATTTAAAATTAGAGATCAATGTATTGACTTTCAACTAATGCAATTAAGCCCCTATCTGGATATCTAGAGTTATTATTAGAGTCCTCTTAAAAACTACTCTCAACCCCTAAATCTGAATATTTCTATATATATAAACCTTCTAGAATTATTTACAACCTCCTTTAAAATCATTTTTATTAAACTGTGTTTTGGTAATACAGTATTATATTGAATATAATATTAAGATTACAGATCTATTAAGATCTGTAGGAGGAACTTCTCTTTGATTTCAGAAACTTACACCTAATTCCTTTTCAAATTGGTTGTTAAAATGCTTTGCGCAAAACTTGTGAGTTAACTCTTGCAATTATATAGGAATTTATAACCTAACCTTTTCTCGCTCTCTACAGGATTTTTTTCCTAACCTTGATTATGGCTCTATTGCCTATTTTATTTTTCACAGTTTGTATTTCTTATTTCTAACTAATTTCATCTTGCATTATTGCATGCATCTTTCTACATAAGGAGGGAAAAAATGTCTAGTTTTGTTCCCTAACCTGCAATAATTATGCTATCCAACATCATATGAGGACACATTCTATATCATTACACCATTTGTATTTATATGAAATTTTCACTTACCAGTAAAGGTAGTCCAGATCCACTACCAGAACTTTGTGACTGGTCAATAAGGTCTTTTAGAGATTCTCCTACTGGAATAAATGCTTCATCCTGTTCCAAATCACGATTATAACGACGTCTGCTTGAGATGCTCTTGCAATAATGTCTTTTAAAAAAACAGAACACAATCTATATTAAAATTCGAAAACTAAAACACTCTGAGGTAAGAAAAACCTTGAGGTTCTCTACACCATCAGCCTCTCTTCAGAAAAGAATCAAATCCAAATAGGTCTTACAGGATAATAAAACTCATCCAGAAATGGAGTATATGAGGTAGAGTTTTATGTACCATGTTAGAATGGAAAGATGTCTATGGTGTACTGGCAAGTGAAAACAACAGATCTAAAACAGCATGTAAAGAGTCATGCATAAATTTAAATTATGTTTTTACATACATCTAAAAAGATCAGAAAGAATATATAGCATAGAAGTATTCACTTTCTTTTTTTTTTTTTTGTCTTTTTGTCTTTTTTCCGTGTCCGGCAACGGATCGCAACCCTCAGTGTTGCCCCCGTACCGGACCGGGGACCGGCGACGGGATCGCAAGCCTCGGCGTTGCTCCCGCGCCTCGCTCAGCCAGTGAGCGGGAGCCGGTCCGTACGTGGGATCCGAACCCTCGGACGGGAGCGCTGCCGCGCTTCCCAAGCTGCGCACTATCCAGTGCGCCACCGGGCCGGCCCTAGAAGTATTCACTTTCTACTTCATGTATATATTTTCATTTAAATTTATAACTTTTTGGTATTAAAACAAAAAATAAATATATTTCCATTTTGAAAAAAGGGAAAAGGAGTTTACAGGGAAAAAAAAATCAAACAAGTTCTCTTAATTCATTCTGATATTTTTTAAAAGCCTCTCTTTTTAAAATTTCAAATTATGAAATATTTCAAACATATAAGAGGACAGACATTAATTTATTTGGCACCTACAGCCAGTTATCTGAAAAAAAAATTTAATTGGCACCCATATGCAGACCATTTAAATTTAATAAATATTAATACTTCACTATATTTATTTTAGATATGTTTTAAATAAGTATTAGAAATATCTGAAGCTTCTTGGGCCGGCCCAGTGGCGCACTGGATAGTGCGCCGCTTGGGAAGTGCGGCGGCGCTCCCGCCCGAGGGTTCGGATCCCACATACAGACAGGTTCCCGCTCACTGGCTGAGCGAGGCGCGGGAGCAACACCGAGGGTTGCAATCCCGTTGCCGGTCCCCGGTCCGGTACGGGGGCAACACTGAGGGTTGCGATCCGTTGCCGGACATGGAAAAAAAAGTCAAAAAAAGAAATATCTGAAGCTTCAGCCACTTGCCTGATCATTGCACTTCCTTCCTCTTCACCCAAGAGACAAATACGATCCTGAAAGTGGGTAGGTATATCCTTCCTACGTATTTATGCTTTGACTATACATGAATACATCCATAAACAACACCATTACTCTATAGTAAAGTTCACATAAACGGCATATCATATGGCATACTGATATTTTCACCTAGTTTTTAAAAAAATGACGTTTTACATATTTTTCCACGCTGACATATGTGATAAAACAACAGCTCATTTCTATTGATGCTGACCGAGTGTGTCAGATACTACTCTGACTCACTTCATCTTTACAAAGCCCCTTAGAGGTGAGTACTACTGCTTTATTTTACAAATGAGGAAACCATGGCCAAGAGTTTCACCACTTGCCCCAAGTCAGACTGACCGACAAAGCAGTGAAGCTGGGATCCAAACCCAGAGCCTGGGCCTGCAGTACACAGTCTTAGTCACTTAGTCATTCTGTAAAGGAAATTACTTAAATGGTGTCTAGTGTTCCTGTTATGAACTTGCTACAATTTACCCTGACAGCCACTGTTTACTTATTTCCAAAAGTATGCTACTAAAAACAGTGCTATAATAAACACTTTTGTGCCTGTCTCCTCATGCAGATGTATTAAGAATTTCTTGAAGGTAAACACAACTTTGATTTTATACATATCACCAAACTGCTCTCCAAAGTGGAAAAATTTATACTCATACCAAAAGCATAATATCACAATATCCATTTCCTCACCATTCCAACCCAAACTTTGGAATGTCATATTTTTAGACTTTTGCCAATCCAATGGGTGTGAAACAGTGCCTTCTTTTAATTTGCTTTCCCCTGATTACTAGTGAGGTTGAATTTTTTTTCATAGTTCAGTTTTTTTCTGTGAACTGCCTATTCATGTCTTCTGCATGCTATTCAACTAAGGTGTCTTTTTTCCCCTTACTGTTTCATAGGAGTGCTTTCTATAATTTGGACACAATCTTTGATAATCATGAGTTACCACAATCTCTCAGTCTGTGATTATCGTGGCATTCCATTTATGATGTTATGTCATTTAAAAATTTTTTTCTTTTCACTCATCACCAACGAGGAAGTCACTTTTTAATTTTACTGCAGTCAAATTAATTAATTTTTCTTTCTTTTTTTATTTAAATATTTTATTTTATTTTGTCAATATACAATGTGGTTGATTATTGTGGCCCATTACTGAAACCTCCCTCCCTCCTCCCACCCAACAATGTCCTTTCTGTTTGCTTGTCGTGTCAACTTCAAGGAATTGTAATTGTTACATCTTCTTCCCCACGCCCCACCCCCTCCCTCGGTGTGTGTGTGTGTGTGTGTGTGTGTGTGTGTGTGTGTGTGTGTGTGTGTGTGTGTGTGTGTGTGTGTGTGTGTGTGTGTGTGTTTATTTATTTATTTTTAGCTCCCATAAATAAGTGAGAACATCTGGTATTTCTCTTTCTGTGCCTGACTCGTTTCACTTAATATAATTCTCTCAAGGTCCATCCATGTTGTTGCAAATGGCAGTATTTCATTCGTTTTTATAGCTGAGTAGTATTCCATTGTGTAGATATGCCACATATTCCGTATCCACTCATCCGATGATGGACATTTGGGCTGGTTCCAACTCTTGGCTATTGTAAAGAGGGCTGCAATGAACATTGGGGAACAGGTATACCTTCGACTTGATGATTTCCATTCCTCTAGGTATATTCCCAGCAGTGGGATAGCTGGGCCATATGGCAGATCTATCTGCAATTGTTTGAGGGACCTCCATACCATTTTCCATAGAGGTTGCACCATTCTGCAGTCCCACCAACAATGTATGTGAGTTCTCTTTCCTCCACAACCTCGCCAGCATTTATCATTCAGAGTCTTTTGGATTTTAGCCATCCTACCCCCCCCCCCGTGGTATCTCAGTGTGGTTTTGATTTGCATTTCCCGAATGCTTAGTGATGTTGAGCATTTTTTCATATGTCTGTTGGCCATTCATATATCTTCCTTAGAGAAATGCCTACTTAGCTCTTTGCCCATTTTTAAATTGGGCTGCTTGTTTTTTTCTTGTAAAGTCGTTTGAGTTCCTTGTATATTCTGGATATTAATCCTTTGTCAGATGCATATTTTGCAAATATTTTCTCCCACCCTGTTGGCTGTCTTTTAACTCTGTTAATTGTTTCTTTTGCTGTGCAGAAGCTCTTTAATTTGACATGATCCCATTTGTTTATTTTTCTTTTGGTTGCCCGTGCTTTTGGGGTCATATTCATGAAGTCTGTGTCCAGTCCTACTTCCTGAAATGTTTCTCCTATGTTTTCTTTAAGAAGTTTTATTGTTCCAGGGTGTATATTTAATTCTTTAATCCATTTTGAGCTTACTTCAGTGTATGGAGAAAGGTATGGGTCTAGTTTCATTCTCCTGCATATGGATATCCAGTTCTCCCAGCACCATTTGCTAAAGAGGCAGTATCTTCCCCAGTGAATAGGCTTGGTGCCTTTGTCAAAGATCAGATAGCTGTAGGTGTGTGGGTTGATTTCTGGAT